ATGTTTCTCTCTAAAATCTTTCCAATTACTCCAACTCTGTACCTCTTGTGTCCCTACTGTGAACAGATGGCACTTTCTTCTATCCAGTTCCCCTAGCTAGGAACCAGTGAGCCATCCTTTATTACTTCCCCCTTCTCCCTGCCCTTTCCTTCTCTCTAATGTCTATCCATTGATCAGGACCTGTTGTTTCTATCTCCTCATTAGCTTTAGGGTCTCTCTTCTTCTCTCCAACATCAAAGCACCATCATCTCTTGCCTGTGAAGGGCCTGTTAGTAGATATTTTAGACTTTTTGAGCCATAGGATTTCTGTTCCAGTTAGCACCATTTGTATCCTGAAAGTGGCTACAGACAAAATGTAAAGACACCGTTGCAGTTGTTTTAATAGACCTTTGTTAACACTACAACTTGAATTTCATATAATTTTCACATCATGAAATATTATTCTTTTGATCTCTTCTCAAAGTCATACAAAAACATAGCTGGGTGAGGTGGCACACACGAATAATCCCAGCACCTTGGGAGTCTGAGGCAGGAAAATTTTGCGTTCAAAGCCAGCACTCAGGGAGGCCTTAGGGAAGCCCTAAGCAATTCAGTGAGACCCTGTCACTAAAATCAGAAAAGGGTTGGGGATGTGGAACAAAAAAAAAAAAAAAGTCATACAAAAACAGACGGTTGGCTGATTTTGGCTAGAGGCCACCATTTACTAACATAGATTATAATCTTCTTGGAAACAGGGATCATTATCTGTCTTTTTTCCCCATTAAATATCTAAGGTCCAACACAAAGCTTTCTGTACACTCAATCAATATTTGGTAAATTTGGGGTGCAATGGTGCATGCATTCTAAATCATAATCCCAGTGATTTAGGAGGCTGAGGCAGAAGAATCACAAGTTTGAGGTCAGTTTGGACAATTTAGTGAGACTCTTGTCTTAATGGCTAGGGATGTARCTCAGTTCCTGAGTTCTATCCCCAGTAGGGGAGTGCGGGTGTGTGTGTGTGAGAGGGGAATAAAGTTGGTAAATGAATTATTAAAGGAGTAATTTGTACATAAACATTTCTATTACAAAAGGACTTTGTGTTAATAGATTAAAAAAACAAACATATCCACACAAAATGAATACGCAAATCTTTAGCAATCCTACCACTCAGAGAGAGCCATCTTTTTATACTTTTGTGCAGTATATGGTAAAAATTTAGAAAAAGTTTTTTTTTTTCCATGAATACAGTCTCACTAAATCGCTGAGGCTGGGCTTGAATTTGCAATCTTCCTGCCTCAGTCTCCTGGGTACTTGGAATTACAGGTGTATACCACCACGCCTGTCTGGCTAGGAAAAGATTGTTTTCTGGCCAAGGGAGTGGTGAAAAGTTGTTTCCCTTCAAACCGCTAGGGAGCTAGGCTTCCCCTTTCTATCTGTAGGGGCTGAAGCTGGAGAAGAAAGATAAGGAGGAAGGATGGAAATGGTGCATGCATCCTAAATCATAATCCCAGTGATTATGGGGGGAAAGTAATTATCAAGCAATTAACAATCTCCTACCACGTGCAAAGCCAGACCCTGAGAGATAGATGTAGCACTCATGCTTTCTGTGTTTACAATTGAAAAGGTAGATAAGGAATTATAAGAGTGAAAACGATGAAATACCAGGAGGGAAATTCACGGTGCTGTGAGAGTTTGAGGTAGGGGGTTTGTCTAACCTCAAGTGTGGTTTTGGCAATGCCTCCTTTCCTAAGGAAAGAAGACTGTCTAGTAATTAGTTAGACAAGACAATGGGAAGTTCCATAATGAGAGAGTGTGGCATCTTTATTTAGAGGTGTTTGGCTGGAGGGCAGAGAGGAGCAAGAAGTAGCATGAGATCAGGTTGGCAAGGACCACATCAAAAGAAGCTTGTCATCTAGATCTAATTACCACTTTGTGGAAACTAAAGAAGATTAATGAACAAATTAAAAAACACCTGGAGGAGAAAGTAATCAGTTAGCTCCAGAATGAAGAACAATTTATGGGACAAATGATCTGGGTTCCCAGTGGCATGAAAATGGGAAAGAAAGAAAAAGGAGGGGGATCTGTTACAGAATAAGAGGTTCTGCTGGCTCCGTGGTGCATGTTCTATAATCCCAGGGACTAGAGGAGCTGAAGCAAGAGGATTCTAAATTCAAGATCAGATTCAGCAATTTAACAAGCCTCTCAGCAACTTAGGGAGACCCATCTCAAAATAATAAATAAATAAATAGATAGATAGATAGATAGATAGATAGATAGATAGGACTGGGGATATGGATGTGACTCAGAAGTAAAGTGCTTCTCGTTTCAATCCTCAGTACTAAAAAACAAAATAAAACAAACAAAACCCAAAACAACAGCAACCAAAACAAACAACAACCTCAAAAACAAAAGGAAGAAGACCTAAGAAACATAACTACCAGAAGTCATGCGTGGCTCTCATTTAATTCCTTATTGGAACAAACCAACTATGAAAGGCACCTTTGAGATAACTGAAGAAATTTTAATATGAACTGGGAATTAAAAGATACTAAGGAATTACTGTACATGGTGGTTACATTTTTTAAAAAGCCATTATTAGTTATAGATGCAAATAAATGAGACGACTAGTGTCTGGTGTATGCTTTAAAATATTCTAGAAAAAAAGCTGGAGGTAGGAATAATAAAATAGGGGAAATGTTGATAATTCTTAAAGCTAGGTAATGGTTATAAAGATATTTATTATTATCAGACTCTGGGCTTTGTGTATATTAGGAAACTTAGAGAATACTTCATAGGAAGAGAGCATCTTTTATGCAATATGAAAGAACTTCACTTTTTAACTTTCTATTTTGAAATGATTTTAGGTAAATAGATGGATCGCAAAGAGAATGTTTCCATAAGCCCTTCACCACCTTCCTCTAATGTTACATCTTACACAACTACGGCATGTTAATCAAGACTAAGAAATCAGAATTGATACAACACTATTAGCTGAACTACAGACTTTATTCAGATTTCTATAATTTTTCCACCAAGGTCCCTTTTTTCTGCTTCAGGATCCAATCAAATGTCACATCTAATCTCGGTAACAGTGTTTTGGCCTTCCTTGCCTTTCATGGCTTTAACACTTTTGAAGAACTGTGTCAAGTATTTTGTAGTCTGTTTACAATTTGGATTTGTTGGATGTGTGCCATGATTAGCCTAAAATTGTGTCTTTGGGGAAGAATACTGCAGAGGTGTGGTGGCTTTCACATCACATCATGTCAGGAGGCACATAGTGTCAACAGGACTTATTAAAAATATTTTCTTTCTTTTTTTATATTTATTTCTTACATACATGACAACAGTAGAGTGCATTACATTCATAATTATCCATTCACAGCACAATTTTTGTAACTCTGTAAAAAAAACTTAGTCACTTGGTTAAGGTGGTGTCTGCCAGGTTTGTTATCTTTTGTTTTCTATATTCAATAGCTTGAAAATCAATACTGCCTATAGTCAAGGAACTCCTTAGCTACAGGGTATTAAACTCAGGAGCACTCAACCACTGAGCCACATCCCCAGCCTTTTTTTTTTTTTTTTTTTTT